TGTGTCCTTGAACAAACAGAGACTCTGCCTGCCATATGATCGGATTAAGGGCATGTGCTACCACCACCAGACTTCTGCTTACTGGCTCGCTTTGACCTCTGATCTCCAGGCAACTTTATTTATTAACATACAAATAAAATCATATTTCAACACAAATAAAATATCACCACAAGAGCAGATGGAGGACGCCAAGGAATCAAGGCCTCCTAACCCCAAGAGGGCTGGCACATGTGTGAATTCATGCACAAGGCCCACAAGGGTCTGCACCAGATGAGGTCCTAGAGCTGAAAGAAGTGGACACAGCCCCATCCCTAACCCAGAAACTATTTCCAATTGATAGCCACTTCTCAAACGAAAGATTAGTTTTCTCCAATGGAGTCTCACTGGGGAAACAAACCACTCTTAAGGATGACCCCATACCCAGAAGTAGATGGACAACACAACACGAAAAAAGCTCAATGACACCGTTGGGGCCTCTTTGTCTCATAATGTTGTCAGGTCAAGGTGGCTTTTGTTGTGGCTGTTGTTATTTTGGTTTTCTACCTTACAGATGCCTTGTATACATATTATGGCTCCCAGTTTTGTTTTTGGGGGGGTGATTTCTGAGTGTGCAGAAGTGTGTCTCTGCATCTCTAGATGTGTTTCTTGTGCTTTTTCTCTGGCTCTTTTTCTTGTTTGTTTTGGCGTACTTCAATTATTTTTTTTGTTTCGGAGTCATCTCACTTTATTTTACTATTATTCCTTAGATGCCAGCTCTTTTTTCCCTAAGGAGAGACAGAAAAGATGTGGATCCAGATGAGAGAGGAGATGGGGAGGAACTGGGAGGAGTTGGGGCAGGGGAAACCATAATCAGAATATATTGTATAGAAAAAAATTTTTATTAAGAATTTTTCTATTCATTTTACATACCAATCACAGATCCCCTCTCCTCCCTCCTCCTGCCCCCCAGCTTTTCCCCCCCAAACCCCCCCCCCATTCCCACCTTCTCCAAGGCAAGGTCTCCCATGGGGAGTCAGCAGAGCCTAGTGCATTCTGTTGAGGCAGGTCCAAGCCCCTCCTCCCTGCACCAAGGCTGTGCAAGGTGTCCCACCATAGGCACTAGGCTCCAAAAAGCCAGCTCATGCACCAGGGACGGATCCCGATCCCACTGCCTAGGGGCTTCCTAAACAGTTCAAGCTAAACAACTGTCTTGCCTATCCAGAGAGCCTAGTCCAGTACCATGGGGGCTCCTCAGCTATTGGTCCACAGTTCATGCATTTCCACTAGTTTGGCTGGCCGTCTCTGTACATTTTCCCATCATGATCTCGATGTCCCTTGCTCATAGAATCCCTCCTTCTCTCTCATTGATTGGCCTCCTGGAGCTCAGCCTGGTGCCTGGCCATCGGTCTCTGCATCTGCTTCTATCAGTCACTGGATGAAGGATCTATGATGACAGTTAGGGTATTCACCCATTTGATCACCCGAGTAGTTCAGTTCAGACACCCTCTCAACTATTGCCAGTAGTCTATGGTGGAGTCATCCTTGTGGATTCCTGGGAACTTCCCTAGCACTCTGTTTGTCTCTATTCCCATGATGTCTTCATTTATCATGGTATCTCTTTCCTGGAAATATTTTTATTTTTAATAAAAGTAAAAAAAAAGTAGCTATCTAACTAATTTGCACATTAATGCTTCACCCATGGCCTTCAACTAAGATCCTCATATGTAACAGCACAGAAATAATCTTTGCATTTAGAAACATTTTCAAGAACTTGGCTCAATTTCCCCTCATGATTAATGTGCTTACAATTAATGCTAACTAAGGAAATAAGAGAGATTTATGCACTGGTATGCTCACTGAAGTGTTATTCAGTCATTACAAACCAGGAATAACCCTAATCTGTCTCTCACTGGCAGTGCTGTTGAATAATTATGCTTGTCTCCTTGGAAAATTGCACTATTATGAATATGATTTCAAATACTTGTTTAACAATATGGAAAAATTTTATAATGTGATATGGAAAAAAAAAGAAACATTTGTGGGACATACCATTTGCTCCTAATTTTGGGACTAATAAACAGTAGCTCTCTCCTAAAGAACTGAAAAGGGACAGATCAAACTCCTCAATATTTTTTTTCTACATAATTAAGCAAATGAATGCTATTTTTTTTAAACCTCAAAACTTAAAGATTGATATCATTCATTTTCTAGTTAGAAAAATGAGTGATTTTAGAAAACAAATTAGGTAATCTCGTGTTCAGAAATTAGTTTCCCTGGTGGCTTTTCCGTGTTTTCTACTTTTATACTTTTAGTGGGGTCTCCGATTGAATGACAACCCCCGTCTGAGGACTTTTGCTCTTGTATCTGCAGGCTTGTTTAGCTCCTCAGCTTCCCTTACCTGGGAGAAATGTAGGACTCCTCTCCATCCTCACTGGGACCCTACCCCTGCCTCAGTTGCTTTCTTAATGACAAAAGGGAGGTGGGTTACGGGGAGATAGCTCGGTGGGTAAATGTATTTGCTGCTCAAGACCGAGGCTCTGGATTCCGCTCCCAGTACCCACAGTGGAAGGGAAGACACAGCTCTCCCAACCCGTCCCTTGACTTCCACACATTCACTGTTGCATGTGCATGTCTGAGCATTCTCCAATGCAACAACAACAACAACAATAGTAATAATAATAATATGCTCAAAATAATTTTATTTTAAAAATATTTAATCTGGCCAACCAAAACATTGTGAATGCTATGAAACCAAAAGTGACGAGGACCAAGTTGAAAGTGTTATTTCTGCATACAAAAGGCTTAGGATTTATGTGGGAAGCAGAGATAATGAGATTGTCACCGTGATTCATAAATTTAATGGTGATTTTTCCAAGATTAGTCTATCGCTTTTGTTTGGAAGATGAGAAAAAAAAAAACAGTCAAGAGAGACTAGGAGATTTTTCTGCAATATCACAGGGGTAATTAGGAGGAAGAACCCAGATCTTCCACTGAAGTTTAAAAATGTAGGTTAATGTACAAAATCCTAAAGAAACCAAAGTCAGCCTCCATTAACGAATTTCATAAGAAAGGGTGAGGGGAATGACTCAATGACTATCCTCTGGCCGTGACTATTTCGGCAGGTCACCAACCTGGGTGGCCCTCCGTCACTAAGAAGACCCTCAACAATGCTACAGACTGTGATCACATCCTAGGTGACAGGCACATGCTTTTCACATGTGCAAAACATTTATGGGGGCAAACATTAATTTTGTAATTGGGCTACGAAGTAGTCAGGATCCTTTTGAGTGATAGAAACTCAAGCTATAATAAAGATAAAGAAATGGGAAGACTTTGTTGATTTGTAACTGGGAGGAGCCGTGGAAACTGCCTTTAGGAATTTGGGGTTTATATGTTGGTGTCTGAAGTCTGTGTCACTGTCAAGACCATGCTGATCGGAGTGGCCTCTGCTCTCGTCCAGCACCATGGTGTCCTCTGGACTAGGGCTGCAGCTGAGGGTCATGTCTGGGTCCACAGCCCTACTGCAGCCAGGGTCTGAGTTGATGTCTGTGGCTCCTGTTATCACCGAGGGCCGTGCGGATGACTGCGGTCTGGTCAGCCACCTGAGACCATCTCAGTGTCTATTCAGAACCATCTGTAACTCCAGTTCCAGGGGATCAGATACCATCCTCTGGCCTCAGTGGGTACCAGGCACACAAGTGGTGCACAGACAAATATGTAACGAAACAGCCATACACATAAAACAACTTTAAAAATGGTGGTTTGGGGGAGATCCATTGTCTGGGCTTTTCTGTCTTAGCTCATCTCGCACGGCTTTGTTTGTTGGCAGATGTTCCCAGGTGTTTGGAAACATGGATGCAGACACCAAAAGCTCACTGTCTACTGTTTAGGACTCACAGGAGATGTTTCCCTAGAATTCTATGGCAGAAAAAACTTGGGGGAGACTTTTATTTCCAAGCATTTTTATTTCCTAGCATTTGACTCTGGAGAACTAGCCTTTCCTAACCACGTAGATTCTTCTTTCTACAGTGTCCTCTTGACAGGAGGAGGGCCAGGGGAGTGAAGGAGCCAATCCAGTGTAGGAGATGTGCCAATGAGCTTAGTGTTAACCACGTGACAGGGCTGATAAATACAGGAGGGAGGGGGTGGCAAACCATGGAAATGCTGGCGCAGCATGCCAGAGAAGGAGACACAGACTAGGCCAATGCAAAATTCTGCTTAAAATAATAGACTAAATAAGGCCTAATTATAAAGTGGATCTCATTAAAAAAGAACTCATCCTCCACTAAACAAAGAATCATTTTTTAAAAAATGGCATTTGCTTTCAGTGGTAATTGTAGTGTCTAGACCAGTCCAACTTGCAACTATCAGGAATGAGATACTCCTTTCTGAACAAACACGTGGACTAACGTCTACAGGGCAAAGTTGCAATAGTGATAACGCTTTAGATTAGAAGCTAATCATTCACACGCAGTTAATGGAAATTTTAATTAGGCAGCACAATTTCTGCAAACAAAGAAGGAAAAAAAAATCCTGCAGATCTCAGCAACACCTGTACGTTGACAGTGAGTATTCTCGTTTTGAGCATGGTGTGTGCGCAGCTTAGTGCAACAGTGATTTCCCCTGATGTCACATCAGGCTTCGACACCGGTGCATATTAACTCCATTGATCGTTGCCATGTTCCCACAAAGCAGGCGTTATTATACTCCTCTGCATCTGCTGGATAAGAAAACCGAGGTCACATGGCTAAGGACAGGAGGACTTGAACCCTCCTGGCTCTTCTTATCTCCAGAAGTTCCAAAGTGAGAGAGAACTGAATTTGAATCCTCTCTCTACCACCTGTGTGCTACACACACACACACACACACACACACACACACACACACACACAGTCACATTTTAAACTCTTCTTCGTCAGGATGTAGAAGTGTGACAGTCATGCGCAGTGTTAGTTACTTTTCCGTGGCCGTGACACGGTTCCCGACATCAGCAACTGGTTGTGTTGACTTTGGGCCCACAGTGATGCAGAAGAACATGATACGTGAGGCGGAGGCTGTTCACCCCACGACACACGGGAAGCAGCGAGAGAAAACGAGAAGAGGGAAGATATGCAACCTCCAGTGACCTACTTCCTCTGTCTAGGTCGTGTCTCCTACTTTTTGTCACCTCCCAATGAGGCCACCATGTGAATCTATTTGCGATTAATGTATTGATAAGATCCAATCATTTTCGAAAGGTCTTATCAATTGACAGCCACACCCCCAATATGTGAGTCCCGGGGGACGTTACCTAATAAATCATAAGACACATTGCAAGCTGTCTCTCACTGTAGGTCCTCTTAAGGGCCACTCTGTCACCCTGTCTTCAAGCATCCTTAAGGTGACAGCGGTGACAAAGAGGTGCAAAGCCGTTCTCTGGTTTGGTCGAATTGAGACGTCCCCAGATATCTCAGTTATGGTGGGGCAGGGGCAGGGCGTAGCTGTACAAGGGCACCCCTTGTAGCTCTATATTCAAAGGGAAGGGATGAGAATCAACCTGCCACGTGGGGATTCCTGCTTCTTCTCCGGCTCAGCCTCTAGAAGGAAGTCCACCTACCGGCTGATCCAGCCTGTGCAGACTAGACAACAGCACCATCTCATTGTCAACGTACAGGTATTGCTGGCGCAAAGCGTGACTTGCCATCCACAGAGGCAACACAGCCCCCATTTGAGATGCTCTTTGTCTTCTCACTACTATAAGCGAAGGCGTAGTGAAACCGCCGCATTGGACCGCTCCCTGGGTAGGAGCGAAGGCTGACTGGAGAATATTAAAACTGCTCTGGCTACCAGGGGTGAGAGAATGACCAAAGGTGGGCACAGCATCACCCATGTTAGTGGGGTGTGTTTGCGGTGGGGGGAAGCAGGCAAACAGGAACAGCCTGGTAAGTCAGAGTAGCCGAGGGTGGAACGGGGTGCAGGCTAGAGGACCCGGGTGCTAGCCTGGGAACTTTGACATGGACTTATTACAGGTATGTGTTCATAGGGACTAGGTGTCCCATTTCTGGAGGTAGTCTGGTGTAGGGGCAGATAAAGGGAAGTAACAGCTCTTCCTGACAAACAGAAACTTACCTCACAAGTTTCTGAGCGATACATATTTAAGGTTTCTGTTTATCGGCTGACAGTCCTTCTGATCACCCCGTCTAAGTGCAGCCTGAGCTGAGCCCAGAGACTGTCATTTATGACACTGTCATTGGCACAGCCATTTTGGGGCTTGGGAATCCATTTAGGACTTGACAACTACCCGTTTGTGTGGATAGTTTCTCAACTCTTTTGGTGCTAGATAACTCTTGGTCATTGGAGCTGGTCTCCGCATAGTCACATCTGCAGTAGCACCCTTGACCTGAACTCATTAGATGTCAGGAGCAATGACCAAGACTTCTCCAGGCACTGTCACGTGTAACTTCAAGTGGGGTGGCTGGTGGTCCCTCCACTGTCAATCACTGATGGTCAGTGACATGGGAATGCTCTTGGTCTATGCAAATCTGTCCTGATGGAGTACTAATATGATTTATATAAGATTTAAGAAAAAAAAAAACAGGAGTGCCCTTTTGGAAAATTAATTACTTTGTTACTGCATGAGTTAACCTGTAATAAAAACAATGATCAAATTCTACCTTTTACAAAAGTATCCATTGTCATTTCTGATGGGCCCAGAACGTCACAGGCACATCCGCCCTTAGGTCACCCTCCACCTTCAAGGTTCAGTCGGTGATATAGGAGAGGTTAGCTTGGGGGTGACTTTGAACAGAGAGGCCTGGGAGACTATGAGTGGGGGCTGAGGGCAAAGTCCTGGCCTCTGGCAAAGTCTACATATGCATCATTCTCCGTGGAACTCAATCATCAGTATGATTACTGAGATAATCAAGGATTTTTTTAATTTCCCCAGTCCTTAAAAAAACTATCTCATGTTTATTTATCTCACCATGTGGTGCAAAGAATATTATTTATTATATTGTTTTATTAACACGTAAAAAATGTGCACCTGTAAAGACCGTGAAAAGATCTCATCAAATGAATCATTATATCCTTTTTTTCCCCCAGATACTTATTGTGTGTGTTATGAAAGCCTTTAAAAATCTGTTCTCAGGCTGGAGAGATGGCTCAGAGGTTAAGAGCACCGACTGCTCTTCCAGAGGTCCTGAGTTCAATTCCCAGCACCCACATGGTGGCTCACAACCATCTGAAATGAGATCTGGCACCCTCTTCTGTGTTCATAATAAATAAATAAATGAAAAAAAAAGAGTAAGAAAAAATTAAAAAAAAAATCTGTTCTCAAGGGCTGGAGAGATGGCTCAGCGGTTAACAGCACTGGCTGCTCTCCCAGAGGACTCGGGTTCATACCCCAGAGCCCAGCACCTATATTTTGGCTCACAGCCACCTGTAACTCCAGTCCCTGGGGATCTGATACCTTCTTCTGACCTCTGCAGACACTGCATGTATGCAGTGCACAGACATGCAATGTGGGTAAAAAAAAAAAAAAAAGTCCATGCACATAAAATAAAACAAATGAATCTAAAAATCTATTCCTTTTGCAGTCTTAAAGTAGAAGTGGCATTGTTATTGACGATAGCCACCGTGAAATGACTGCGATTATTCCTCCTATCCAAAGGAAATATTGTATCCTTTGACCAAAATACCGCCCCCCCTCCATTCTCCCTACTCTCACCCAGCCCCAGCAAAGACGATCATTGAGAGCAGGAGCCATGACATGGAGAAGCATGGGAAGGGTGACAGACGGACGGGAGGTGTGACAGTTCTTTGGAGGGCCTCTCTTGGCATCCTGAGAGTGCAGACAGTGCTTATTTAAAATCAAGGTCGTGTCTTTTAGGAAGGGGACGCCATGTCTGGGAATCTGTATGGTGGTATATGAAGAAGGAATTTTACTTTTTTTTTTTTTTTTAATGGCTCAGAGACCAAACTGAGAACACGGGAAAGTAATGAGCAAGGAGATGTTCCCTCAGAGGGTTCTGTACGTTCAGTTTCTAACAGACCACTTGCTCACTCAAAGCAACAAAATTACCTCCTCTTCCCTCTTCGGTTGGCTGGAGGGCTTCATTATGTCCCAATTAAAGTCTGGGAAGATGGGGTCTTTTACTCAGCAGTGCTGTTTTGATTATTTGACTGAATTTCCCCCATCAATTCCCTTGGCTGTACACATCTGTAGCCTTCTTATTTTTCTGGAAATCAATGTGCTCAGCTCAATTAGTTTTTTCTTTCTTTCTTTCTTTTTTTTTTTTAAAGAGAGAACGGAAACAAACAGCTGGATTTCTTGAAGACCGTTCTTTCTCATTTCTACTTGAAATAAAGTTTCCTGCAGGGGGATTCTGAGGACATGGCTCAGAAATTGTCAACCGACAATCTCTATGCCCCTCTTCACGCCCCTGCTCAGCACCTCTTGGTTTCTTTTCATCACATACCCCCTCCTTGGGCCGTAGCCTGGATCTCATTTCCCACATAGAAGGAGAATGACAGCATGCTGTGAAAATGTCTGTTGGCCGTGAAAAGGCAGTGTTTGTCCCTGTTTCTCAGCTATTGCTCAGGTTAATCATTTTCTCAGTGGGAACAATGCTGCCCAGATAACCAAAGGAGTTTTTTTGTTGTTGTTGTTTGTTTGTTTTATTTATTTATTTTTCCTGAAGCTATTTCTGGTGTGACCATGGCTGCATCTACGGATACCACCCAACACAGGGAGATGAACAAGGTGGTGATTAGACTTCTCAGCTCATTCAACAAATATGCCTAATGAATATAGATGAGGGTATTCATTACATTAAGTCAAAACAGACCTGATCCCCGCCCCCACTGAACTCAGTGGTTTTTTGTTGTTTGTTTGTTTGGTTGGTTTTTGGTTTTTTGAAACAGGGTTTCTCTGTGCAGTTTTGATGCCTGTCCTGGATGTCACTCTGTAGCCTAGGCTGGCCTCAAACTCACAGAGATCCACCCAGCGCTGGGATTAAAGGCGTGTGCCACCACCGCCTGGCTTGGACTCAACGATCTTAATCAGAAAAATTACTCCAATGGCATTTGGAACACAGGACCAAAAAGAGGGGTGCAAGGAACTCTGGGAACCCTTTTGTCAGAGACGTGGACCTGTCAAGAGTTTAGGGAAAGCCCCTGAAGAGAGTGAGGACTGAGCTGGGAACTGTGGAGTTGGGGAAGGGGAGGAAACACAGGGACATACTTAGTTGAGTTAATGCTTCCCTCTTATAGGGATTCCATGCCACCTTTGGAGAACAAGGTAAATGTAGCCGGGGAAAGAGACCCCGAGAAGATGTGATTGGAAGCAAGACCATGCAGTTCAATGCCTAGTGTCAGTCTTTGTCCTAAAGCAATGCGCGTATTTCAGCAGTGGGTTTGAGCAAGCATCTAGCAGAGCCGAATTTACCTTACACCATGTAAGTGATTTTTTTTTTAAAAAAGCTCTATTTATTTTAAAATTAGGTTATAGACAGTTTTGGCTCAGACTCTAGAGCATAAGTTAAAATAAATTGCACAGCATTAGCCAACATGAATGTCTTTAGGAAAGGAAGTTATGTTGATATAAGTCATTTTACAGAGCAAACAAGCAAAACAACCAAGGTCATGTCGCTGGATCAGAAGGAGCCAAGGCTGGACACGATGTGCACTAGAGGGGGTCCAGGGACTCGGATGAAGTTTGCAGAACTCTAGAGGGTAGGACTGGTCTAGAAAACCGAGTACTGAGGCTCTCTGTGAGCTGGAACAAGATCCAAGGCCTAGATGGAGAGGGACTGCCCCATGTAAAAGGACCAAAGGGCAAAGACAAAGAGCCTGCCCCTGGGGCCATAGCAGCCTGGAGATTGTGCTTTATGATGTTGGGAGTATGCTTCTCACATTATATTATTTTTCTAGATCATATTAATCAGTATACCAATACAATTCGAACATGCCTGTCCTCACAAAGCAATACTCCACTGGATACATACAGGTGTTTTGTTTGTTTGTTTTTGTTTTTGCAAAGTTTATACTTTGGGGCTTAAACTCTGAGAGAATTCCTAAGAGCAGACATACACACAAGGAGCTAGATAATCATTCTTTTAGGCCCCAGGACATTCTTCACTGACTATTCCGCTCGTTCTGAATTATGCCTTTCTTCCGCTTCATTTTTTTTCTGGCTTCCCTGATGGCAGCATTATGTCCCTTTCTGTCCATTTTGTTAATTGTTTCTTCCTCCAGATGGGTAGGTGCCTAAAGGCAAAGCCATAGGAGAGCTGGCCCTTGTCCTCCCTGCCACCTTTCAGACCCACAGGAAGTCA